CTCCGCTATTAGTCAAGCTTACCGATATACAAGGATTTGTCACAACAATATTAAATGTAGCAGTAGCTGTTTCTGTATTTTAATTTAAAGTCCCTGTTAGCACAATAGAGTAGGTTCCAGCATGTGCTTCCGTAGTGCTAGCTGCCTTTAATTAAAGTGGTGTGTTAGTATCATAAGAAAAAGGATTTGTGCCTTGTGAAGTTCCATCAAAAGTAATTGCAAAACTATATGTCCATGTTGCATCAGAACAGCCTAAATCGGTTGTAAATTGAGTGAATGGAAACCATTTATTTCCACTGAATATCTCATAAATACCATCACTGACCGCAACAGACTGAGGAACAGGCTAGGAGGCACTACACCATGACTGGTAGATGAGGGTTGTGCTTGTTAGACTACCCTTTGAGATAGCATTATTTGAGGTGTCTGTATAAGTAATAGTTATTAGAGTCTTATCATTATTGAAAGTATCAGGGCATGTATCAGCAGTTAATGTTACTGAATCAATTATAACTTCAGTATAAGTTGACTCATCTCTATTAAGACAACTTTAGGATATATCAGCAGACATAAGTGCGGCAGAGAGAAATTTAAGAGAGTTATCTTTTCTTGAATCCTATGAATTTGGAAGCTTTTATACTTAAGCAATATAATATTAGTAACTTCCTTTAATGAATCCGGTTATTAAATAGTTTTATCTCCTTGAAAAATTAGATAACTCATGTTTAATTAGTTTACCAGAGGTAGTTGAAGTGAATTCCAAAGATGTAAGTTGAAAAATTTTATCACTCGACAAGTAGATATACATATAAATCTAAAAGGTATGAGACATTTAGATAAGCAAGGATGATAAAAATACTTACTAAGGAAGTAGATGCTGAATCTGCATGGATGCTCTTACAAGAAGCACTATCACTAAAGTCGTACTAGTAGAGATATTAAGAACTTACTATTCCTCCATCATCAACTACTACATAGTTAAAATAGAGTTTAGAATTTGAATTGGATCCCACTCTGTATACATGATTCGTAATGCCATCATTTTTATAAATCATTTTCTATGACTGCATATTGGACGAGCGAAAAGCCAAGTTTATCAAGTTAGATTAGTCAGATATTTTAAAAGACCATAATGTCCAATAATTTTAGCCTCCGTTTCTAATGTATCCACTCAAAAGCAGCTATTAGTTACTTCCAAACAAATACATTGAGTCAAATTGATTATTAGAAGAAGAACTTTGAGCCGCTTACTTATAAAAATCTACTAATATATCAGCTGTTGTCATTTAAAAACCCATTATTTAGGTATATCCACTACCTGTTCTCATTGCTAGGTACATTCGATCACCGTTAATTACAAAGCAATCGTTTGCAATAGAAACCTTCAGAGCTACATTAGATTAAGTGGCGTATTTCGCTAAAATAGAACCATCTGATGCTGATATGAGATATATTTTTAGCTCATATGATGTAGTTCCCAATATACCCACAATTTAAGTCTCGTCAGATGATCTATATTTAGCAGTAGAAAATTCGCCTGCTGTGCTAAAATGGTATCTCATGCTTAATGTATAAGTGCCTGCCCTGTCTAGAATCACTAGGATTGGCAATGTAGTAGATGTTCCAGATAAATCCCAACTCTTTGTCCAGCCAGACATTAATATATTATCATTTGAATCCATATCAATTGATACATACTTCGTTTGATCTTTAATTCCACCCAAAACTAGAGGGAAATTACCTGTTGAGTCTCCAAAGCATGTGAGATTGTTAACTTTTTCAATTATTAGAAAACTAACATTGAATATTATTTTCATATATTGATTATTCTTACAGAAAAACGAGAAAAGCTAATATTTACAGCTTGCTTTTTTACTAGCTATTTTTTACCCTAGTCCTCATTAAAATCTAAATTGTATAATATTATTTATATGATTCCGAAGGATTCTAAGTACAATTGAGATCTATATTTAATTTTAAACATTAATAATTTGCAAATATTTGGTAAGATTTAAGCATCAGGGGTTTTGGGGTTTTGGGG